TAATTAAAATATTACCTGTAACTTTGTAAGTTATAAATGTTTTCATACCAAACATGTAAATTATATTGTAGCAAAAATTGTTTTATTCAGCAAAATTGTTATTTAAGACTCAGGAAAAATTTATATACAGCAACAACGCATACTGCACGTATTTACGGCGCGCGCTTCTGTTCAGTGATAGTACTTCGGCGGACTGGACAGCCGAAGCGAAAGGGTTAAATAAGAACTGTGTTTAATAAAACAATGTTTCTTCTGACTAATGTCGTTAGTTTTAATATTAAAAGACATTTATACTAAATTCTGTTAATTATACAAGTAAACACTAAAATTATATAAGTACACACAGGTTATCAGATGGATGCCGGATATATATCCGGCGCTCGTACCGAAAAGGTTAATTCTGTGATCTAAGACTTAAGTAGAAATATCTTCTACTCTGACAATAGTCGGTTTAATTTGGTTTAGTTAATCGAAGTTTAGTTGCTTACAAATGAGAATCAAAATTGTGCTCCTCTGTTTCATCGATAGATATAATTCATTGATACGTATAATTCTATTTTACTTTTCATAGTTTGATTCATAGCACCTAATCCATCCTTCATTTCAGTTGTTCTTACTGAAAAGAGAAATTTAATTCGTTCATCCATGAGAATTAATCCGCGTTCAATTTTCGTATCTGAATGCAACATTTAAAGCGCCCACGCACTTCACCGACCAACAACGTGCATTTCACCGAGAGTTTTCTCTACTGTGATTAAAATCAACGTTCGTTCAACGTGACGTGACGTAGCGTAACGTAATGTTAACCAGCTGTACGCCAGTTCAGCAACGTAATTAGTCTTGCGGCGCGCAAGAAACGGGTTTTCTCATGAAAATCACGAGAATGGAGGAAGGATGAAGTTAAGGCGCGGCCGCTAACGAGTCTCGCAAACCGTGTATCTATTCAGAGTTCTTGGCTTGGGAGGAAGGAATGGAGCTGGAGGAGGGGGGGAGAAGCGAAACCTTCTTGTGACGAGTGTAAGGATGCCTCTTCTTTCACGGGGTGGTTGCACGATAGTTCCCGGTCTCTTTCTGATTCGCTTTCGTGCCGCCTGAAATATCCTCCAGTACAGGAATAGAATAACCAGCAGGGGTAGATAGAACGTGGCGCAAGTGGCGAAAATCTGCAATGTATTTTAAGAAATTCCCACCGTTAAACATCCCCCTAAATACTAATTCTGAAAATTAACTCGCTGTACACGTAGTACATATAGTAGTGGGAATAATATCGTTATGCAACTAGTGTTTCCCAATCGCTCGCGGCCAGATTACTGGTCTACTGGTTTCTTTTTTTTTTTTTTTTTTTTTTTTCGTCGCGATGAATATTTGCATTCAGACGCATGTCTGCATTCCTCCTCGCCAAATTCCAGTGAAGGCGATCATCGTGTGAATTACTCAACTTATCGTGCGATTGCATTTCTCGTTCGATAATCGCCGAACTTACGAATTTTACGAAGGGAAATTTCGAGAGTAATTTATTTCAAAAATGGTGTAAATCTGGCTTGTTTTCTTTTGTCTCGAAACAGTGAACGTTCGAGTTCTTAAGTAACATTTTTACTTCTTTTTCATCAGTATTCTGTGAAAGAAATTACACCATTTTCAAGATAAACGGTCCACGTGTCTTTAAAAATCCACTTTTTGAATGCTCCGGCAGTTTCGCGACGGGGCAGATGACAATTTTAACACGCTGTTTGTTTGCTGTCGAGTACCGCAGGGATGGATAGATATTTAGAATAGAAATTTAGGAAAGATCTTATTGCTCAGTACAGTATATTCAAAATAGAAAGGAAAACGATAATCGGATCCTACGTCGAATTAATTAACAAACCAACGTCGTCAGATTCGTTCGTAATAGATTAATAAAGCTGACAGATGTAATTTCGAAATAACTCGGGGAAGATTCTGATTTATCAGGGAGCATGTACCTGGTATGCAGGATCCTGTGATACGAGACACTTCCCGTCCGCTATACGTTCCAAGTAATGAGGATCCTTCCAGCCAAGTTGAGGCGCCAACGAGATTCCTAAGGACACCACCCAGACGGTGACGATCAACATACCGATCCGCCGTGGATTCCTCGCCTGGAAGTAAAGAAATTCTTTCACCGGCTGTCCCACCCGGCTGAACTGGCGAGTCCTCATAACTCCGGGATTCCTCTTTCTCTCGAAAATATTTTTATAACGCCCGTGCGCTCGAGATTAATATTCAGATCGAGGTCAGGGAAACTGCGGTGCCGATGCTACCTGCGATTGCTGCACGAAAAGCTTTCGTAACGTTTCATAAATAACAAAACGGACCAACGTTAAATCTGCAAGGAGCAAAAATATTGGGCAAAAGAGAGACGTAGAAATTTGTACCGAGTCAAAAGTCTGACGAGTTTAAAAATTGCTCGTCGTTTCGAACGACAAGGGAAGAATCTCGATCGATGCTAATTTCTTTTTTTTTTTTTTTTTTTTTTTCTTTTATGAAAACGCTCGTCCTTCGCCGCGAATTTTCCCGGCGATTTAATATTCCCGTGATTAAAGCGAAAGTAATCCGAAGCGTGTTCGCCTCATTGACTCGAGACAATCAGCTTACTGGATTGCAACAGCAACGTCACGATTCCAAATCTCGGATTCCGAGAGCAGTCGAACATGCGGGCGACGGGATATCATGGGATTTAGTTAGTTCGATTAGTTCTTGGCTGTCAGTGATAGCACGGGGGATTGATTATCAGACACGAATCAGAAACATTCGAACATTCTCAAATAGAATTCGCATGAGGTATAATCCTTAAATTATTGAACTATTGGGTCAACTAAGTGACATGTGCTAATTGCAGATTAATCTTTCGTATAACGTACATATACGCGTATAAGATTTAATGTCAGTTTCTTCTTATAACGCTCTCATATAACGTCTGAAATTAAAAAAAAAAAAGAAAAAAAAAACAAAGAGAAAGGAAGAAAGAAAAAAAGTAAAGCTACAAGTTTACACAAACTCCTAATTTCTTCAACAATTACACTACACGGAGCAAATCACGCGTTGTCTCGCGACACGGCGCGCGAGTTCAATGGAACCCTTCCAATGGCGTGAAAAAGGGGAGGGTTCGGTGAGGGGAAAGCAAACAACCGTCGCGAACTGTACACGCAATAACCCTGCTAATTGCGTCGTCGACTTTAATGATCTCTGATGGTACAAAGGGCGAGCAGGTCATCGGTGCTCGATTATCGGAGCTACCCGCGTTCTAGGGGGATCAATATATGAGCGTTTCCACTTCCGTCTCCTAATCTGTTCCTCGATACTGTCATCCCTCCGGGGTGCATAGCCCACGCGATCGTGACGTAAGTTTGTCATTCGTTGCCGTTCTAGTCCCTCGGCAGGAACTACCTGCGACCAGACCGCGACAGTGTTAATTAACCTGTATATAATTGAGATCGGTGACTGCCCAATATCTGTCGACCGCGATAGCCACCAGATGCAATATCGAGGCAGTGCAGCAGAGAACGTCGCTGCTAGTCCACATGTCGCAAAGCTCAGGCCCCAACGACCATCCGGAGTTTATCTGTAATAAACAGAATTATCTGTTACTGGGATGCAACGTGCGTGCATGCGTGCATGCGTGCGCGTGTGTGTGTCGTCGTGATGTGTCGTTCGATCGATCATCGCGTGAACGGGGATCCTGAAGGATAAGGCTTCAACGGGTTGTCGAGTGTGTCGTACCACGCGCTACGTTAATGTCTTTCTGTCTCGAAGCCACGTTACAGTCGGCACTGGGATTAACGAGTGGATTAAAATTTTCAAGGGCAGTTGAAACATATGCAAAGATACACGAAATATCCAAGAATGCAGGACTTTGTGGAATAATTAATAGAGAATTCTGAATTCTCACTTTCCAAGTTGTATCATTTTGCTTTCAAATTAATTATTGGACAGTCCGAGAACGATCAGAAAGGATAAACGAAAGGGAAATAATTTTGGAAAATGTTATACGTTGTTTTGTTGAAGGAAAGTTAGTAGCAATCTCAAGTTGTAAAATTAATATCTTGTATTTTAAATGAGACATATATGTATATCTACGAAGGTCTTTGAATTATTCATACAGCTTAAAATTACGATAACCCATATTGCTATCCTTCTTTATTTTGTACATTTTGCAGAGGTTCTTATGTTATCCCAGTGAATTTTCGACAAAAGAGGGAAAGTAAAAGAAATAAAGGAGCGTTTTTAACAAAGACATTTTCCTCTTAGGACCACTGAAACATTATAGGATTGTATTCTTTTCTGGCTTTCAACACGGCCGTTCCAAAGTCCGCGATCGCAGTTGCAATTTCTATTTTCCAGCTAAATGCGCGAGAAATTGATTTTTCGCTTTCATTACCGAGACGGAAACCGTTTCGTCCCGCCGTGTCTTGCGAGCAATATTCGAAACGAGAATAAAGCCATTAGCGGAACGTCATCTCAGTTTCGCCGGTGCATCATTCCGCTACATTTGATGGGAAACTCTAATTACAATGTCCCCCCTCCTATATATATAACGAGGGAAATGTAGATACGTTCAAAACGAAAACAAGAGAAACTGTAATATCAGTCCTCTCCGACGATGGAAAACTAATAATAATAATAACAGACTACATAATGGAAATTACGGCAGCGGTAGACTGCCGACGCTAGAAATTCTGGGTAATTACCGACCGGAACTTCAAAGTAGAAGCGGCTATCAACTGCGTTTCGTCGACATGGAAATCCTTCCGACATGCATCCCAATCCCTCAACGTAACAAGCGTAAACTACGTGGCACACTCATTTCCAATTAGCCATGCGAGCAAACATTGAACACTGCCGATTGTAAATAACACGCGTCTCGCCGCGGATATACGAAAAACTTTCTCCTGAATCGGCGTTCCATTCGTTGTTCGCCTTCCGCGTTGTGTAAAAAATGCAAAAAAAAAAAAAAAACGCGCCGCGAGCTCGCGCGTATCTGTTTTTCTTTGCATTTCGTTCGACGAGAGAGGAGAGGGATTGGAAAAAAGTCAGGAAGAAAAAATACCTATCTAGGGGAGGAAAGCCGCTGCGAAAATACCAGGTTTAATGGAACTTATGCGTTCGAACGTAGTTCTAATTGAAAAAGAATTTCGCCAAATAAAACATTTAAACAGACATAAATATGTATAGGGGAATTCACGATGAAAGAATACCGTGTTTTCTATCATAAATAGCATTAAAAGCATTTATTAATTCGTATGGAGACCAGCACAAAATACGTGGCCTACGATGACGATCAGCGGTGAAATACTTCCAATGAGACAATCACACGTTTCACACGTTCACATTGTTGCCGATGCCACAAGCGTGAATCGTGAGATTAAATAAATTGCCGTATGCTTTGGATTTTACACTGAAACGAAAATCATCACTTTTTCCCAACGTGTTCTTAACAGTACCGACATACTTGTCGAATTTAATTCGTGACGTTCAACTGTCAATGCTTCGAGTTCACCTACGTGCTCGTCAGATTGCCCACGATAACGGTTAAATCGCAGTGAGAGGCGCAGTGCAAAGAGCTCGGAAACCACGGGAACGCTTCTCAATTCTACTCGAAATATCTTCGAAGAAATTAAAGATTTCGTGTTGCAGGTATGCTCGATCGACAGAGGGAAGCCTGCCGTTAATGCTCGTCTTTGTTTCATCTCGATATCTCACTCGGTTGCGGAGATACGAGCGATCAAAGTACAAAGTCTCAAGACGGTGGAAGATGGCCGAACGGCCTTGAGATCGCCGGACGACCTTGACGACGCTGTGACCTATATTTTTTCCTGGAAATGCGTCTGTCACTGACCAGCGCAACTGACGCGGCGTGCGGTAGGTCCGTACTGTGGCGTGCGAGCGAGAGGGGGCGAGCGCGCGACAAGGACGGAGATAGTAAACGATTAAAAATTACGGTCCCCTTTAGACGACGATATCTCCGGAACCGGAAGTCGTATCGGGACGAATGAAAGAGCGTTTTAAAGGGGATACTTTCGCGCTTCCACTGAGTCTACTCTCGTTGACCTGCGGCCGTTACCTTCGAGGTTACGACGCTCCAAAGTTTTGGCAATTTCGATCCGATTTAATCGGATTTCCAAGTGAATTTCGGGGTGGTATGTGAATTTTTGAGGGTATTTTGTTTGTAACAAGTTATAAATAGCGTATCGGAGGCATTGAATCAATTTGGGAGTGTTAGTTCGTCGAATAGAGTGGGTTTCGGGTTGATCGTGGTAATTAATGGAGATTGTTCCGCGGGTGATGTTTATTTATTAATTCGGAAATGAAATAGCAGTGGGTTTGTACACGTGTGCATTAATATTTAGTTGCGTGTTACGACGAGAAACGAATAATAATTTGTGACTGTAGTGATTTATTAACTACTGACATCATTAAATTGGATAGTACCAATTTGCCGCTGAATAGGAATAATAAGTAAACTTATTCCGAGCGTTCTGTCATTTCAATTTCTCGCTTTCTATTTCCTTGGTCGTATTACAAAAGTGAAAATAATTCATTTGCATAAACGTTTGCAGCCCGATAATCGAATAACGCGTGACGCGTGAAAATTTCATTTATTTTATTTACAATACTGACCGTAGTTAGCTCCCGAGTTGTAAAATGATATTACAGCATTAGTATCGATACTCGACACCTGAGATGACGCAGATTCAAAGATTTCACCTTTGTAATCGATCTGGTTGTTGCTCGACGATCGTTCATTTCTTTGACAATCCACTCGATCGTAACACGTGCTCGGAATTCCTGTTCTCGACTAAAAGGCACGTATGCCCGACTGCGTAGTCTCGAAGTTATGAGTTCTGTCGACGATGGGAACAAAGGATGAGGGGACTAATAAAAGGAAAAGCATCTAACTTTATGAAGGGGATCTTTTGCATTAGAAAAGAAGGACGATTCTTTCCTTGCACTTTCGTCGTGCACTTTGCTCGGCAACGAACGAAAAATTTATCGCTTTCCCCTATCCACTCGCTGGCGAAGCTTTTCATATTAAAAGAATCACGTAGTTGATTAAATGTTAATGAATGTACACGTGCTATCTCCTTTAATAGAAAAGAGAGAAGAGCTCGTTTTATCGCGTTACATTCCCTCGAAACAATTTTCCTAATCCCTTTTAACAGAAAATATAACATATCTCAGAGTTCTCCGTTGCTCAGGTGTGTTTCATTAGTTTTTCGTTCGTCGGTTTCGGAAACTACGTTCGTTAATTAGAAATATCTTCGTTGCGGTAACTTAGCCTGATATCCACGAGTTTGTCTGCTTGAAAATTTATCGCGCATAGAGCGAAGCATAAGGAACTCCTTTATTATTACTAATGTTTGATAAACTACGCTCTGCCACGTATCGTACGTGAAATTTCCTAAAGCAATCAGAAACGGCGACCGGATGGTCTCCGCTAGAAAAGTTTATCACAGATCTTCTATTTAAAGCCGTTCGCGTACAGAGATCCTAAATCACGGAGAGGGAAAAGAAAAACAAAGCCAGTGGAAGTGATACACTAGGAACGACGATTGATTTAAAACGTTGTCCCATTTTTCGAGTCCCTGAAGAACGCTTACCGAACGTGTTTCTAAATAAAGCTTCTTCTGCTTCTGTCAAAATTGCAGAAGACAATTTCCTCGGTTTAATAAAGTCGGCACTCTTTCCTCTTCTTCGTTGTTCTTCCTTCGCTGAAGCACTTACATAACGAAAGTAACAGAGCCGCCGATCTCTACTTTCCATTCGATTTGGTTCAACCTTAAACCTTCAAACCGAAAGACTTTTGCAATCGTTGTTCAATTACGTAATCTGCTCACCGGTCGACAAAAGCTTCGTTCAGCCTTGCTCGGTCGGACAATGAAATTTAAAAAAAAAAAAAAAAAGAAACAGTTTAAGACAGAAGGATACTTTAGTCAAACTCTGAGTAATTTGCATTGAAAGGTGTCGAACTCGTTTCGTGACGAACGAAAGTTTCCAAGCATTTAAAAACACGTCGAAGAATATTTGGAAACACTCGAGCACGAAAATTAGAATTGAATATCAATTTCAAACATGGTAGAGAAATTATTGAAATATAACCTTGAACGTAAGTCTAAATTCCGACACTCGTTACTTTAAAATTTATCAATGTAATCTTTATGATGTTACTTTAATATTTCTCTTACATTCTGGACACGAAATGCACGACATTATTTTTCACTTGTCACTTGTTGAAGTCTGGAGCAAGTTCGATCATTCTACGCAAAATGCAAGATCGATTTTGAACACGTTGAATCACGGACACCTCGAATGATCCCACCTCATCGCACACGCTTGCAAACGAACACAAACTTCTCCAGTCTCTGCGGTAAGCTTCGAATTGAACTCTCGTCGAGGAGCAGAATTTGTCAAGTACGTACAAAGGGGAAAGTCCTCGGGGCGTGTATGCATCGCACCATCGATAAAGAATATTTCCCCAGGCAACAGAATTCAATATCCAGGATGAGCGTTATCTTTCTTCTCTTTCTTCTTCTTCTTCTGCTTTTCTTCTTCTTTTTTTTCTTTTTCTTTTTGTTATTTCGTCTGCGATCCATTACACGATGAAGCAAGACGATCCGTGAACGTAATCGCAACGCTGCGCGTCCATGTGTTGAACAGCAGCTGTCTGAATGCCAAGAGACTGGGCATCGAGCGGCAGACGGTTTGGAAAGCGTTTGTTCGCGCACAATGGAATCTCCGGCTCGGCTGCCGCAACGAGCCGGCCTCGTAAATCATCTGCTCGTGTCAGTGCGCAACATATTTGTAAGGAGATTAGGATCGATACAACGGTATCAGAGTTCCAGCAGACCGGTCATGCCGCCAACATTTCCGAACTTTTTTTGTTTTTCTCCTCCGCGCTCTCCCTCTCACGGGAGGATTCGAGAGATCCCGGCCCGGTGTACGTTTCTCTAATTATCGACTATCGGCCGGATTTACGCGAGCCTAGGCACATCAATCGGTGCTCGTGACATTTTGCCGTCGAAAGGAGGATGGTCCAAGCGGATTTCAATCCTAATTCGTCTGATTGCGTTTCGACGTTGAAACTCGCGCAACCGCTACGAAAGAAGATCTTGCGCGTGCATGTGAAATGAGAATACTAAACGATGCGGAAGGAAAAATGGATGTGAATTTAAATGAATTTTGCTAATTGCGAGTGTTCTTATTGCTACGAGTTTTCAGATATTTTAAATTTATGTTAAATAGAAGTAATATAATTTTCAATATTTACACTCACGAAATGAAGATCAATAAATTTACATGACTATGTTTCCATGCTGAATGAAATCTAACATTCTAATATCGTCAGAACTATTTATTCGCGCGTCTATTGATCACACACATCAACGAAAAAAAGGAAAAGAAACTCTGAAATCCGTCGTTTTGACGAATTTGCTGCCTCGAGCAATGAATGATAAACGTGAAACAAAAGAAAGAAATTGACATTGACGATGCGGAAGGTGATTTTCAAATAGCGACGAATCGTACGAAGCCAGATCGAGGGTGATTGAAAGCGATCCTGGTAGCTGTACGATCTTTCTAAATCGGCCAACAGTGGCCGAACAGTGACTCGAAGACAAATCGATTCCAATCGAGATCCAGCACGAAATTAATGCCTCGGCTGCGAGCAACAAGTGACAAAACTGTCGCAACTCCTGGCCTCGAAACAAAGCAGTCAAAACCGAGAGCTGCAGACAGAATGTTTAACGAGCAAAGTGTCGAACTTTCTTTACGTCGATCCTCGCGTTAAGGGTAAATATTACTCGAGCAACTTCTCCGTCTGGCCAATTCGATATTACTTCACTGTTTCGCAGGCGAAAGCGGAAGACACCGGGCGAGATTCGAAATTCAATTTCCCTGAATTCTTTGTTTCGATGTTTGAATATTTTAAAATGCAAACGACTTGTTTCCATGAATTAACGCCGACGTAAAAAGAAAGAGTAGATTCTAAAGGAGAAAATACGTACTGATTACGATTTCATCTGTACTTCAATTTCTGGTCTGAATTTGTTCAATCTGTTAATGGTGAAAAATCTCGTTTGAAAATCACGCTACAACGTTTTACATCACGTGTCTCTTTGACTCGCTTAAATTAAATTCTATTGAATTTCTTAAACAGAACTTCGACCAATAATAGAGTCTATTTTTCAATAGAAACAAAACAATTTGTGAAAAGTATAATTCTCAAATTATCTTTATATGGCACAATTGGGAAACATAGTCCAAAGGAAAATAATTGAAACAAGTCCAAGGAATTCGAAAATATCTCGTAAAATTCAACTTGCGTTTCGCAATCGATATATAATTCTTAAGGAGGCCAGAATTCACGGTGGAAGACAGAAGAAAGGAGAGAAGTCACAGGTATCGCGTGGTAATGATCGAAGTGAACTCAATTTCCACTTACATTCGAAGCTGGCTCGGTTATCTCGTATAAACGAAATCAGGCCAGGCTCGCTGAATCGAGAGCTGCTCGGTTAAATGAGGCATGCTACTGAGAACTGAAAGATACCCACGGGGAGATGACCAGAGTGGGAAATTAATAGCACTTGACAAAGGATACAATTGATGTGAGAACATCTTTCAACGTCCCTGAAGAATCCCTCCCCTTGACGGGGTATCGTTCTTTGCCTCGCTTCGCTGAAAAATTCAACCA